CCTTGCGCCGCAATGCAATGACCAATGCATCGCTCAAGCGCTCAAGTTGATCTTCAATCACAGACTTGAGCACCACTGTGCTGATTGTGAAGCAGTCTATTTTCACGGTGTCCGGAATCTTGTCCATCTCCTTCCGCTTCGCCTTGATGGCTCTGAAGTTAAGGTCCCAGTCCTTCGGCTCCGTCAGCTCTTCGACAAGCTCTTGGACTCGCTCAGGCATCAAGCCCACCACAAGCCATGGCGAAAACGAGTTCTGGAGCTGCTGCACTCGCTGAAACAGCCCATCTGCCTTCTGGAAAACAACTGCGATGCCCTCTGCATTGCGATCGGGCATTGCCTTGTACACATGCGGAGCACCATCCAAGCCTTTGAATTGAAGTGGCAGTGAGATGAAGGACTTTATCTCCTTGAAGTACAAAGACTTCAGCTCTTCCAAAGGTGGCTTAAGTTTCAGCTGTTTCTGGGCCAGGATCAAATCCGCCTTCATCTCCGGCAAGTTTTCGTTGAGACTTTCCAAGCCGAACCTGTACTGAACTTCCATGATTTTGAATATCTGGAAATCCCAGTGAGCCTTCCATGGCTTTGCATCTGGAATTTGGCACCCGCAAGCTCCAATGGTGGCATCGATGGCCTTCTGAATCTGAGCCAGTTTCTGCTTCCACTGGTCGCGCTGACGCAGCAAGCTGATGTTTGCCAACTGCACAACTTCCTGCGACACCTGGGTGTGGCCGTTGCGAAGGCGCCGGTTGACTGCTCGTAGGCGCTCTGCACCGTCTTTGACATTTCGGGTGAAAGTCTCCAGCTGGTCAAATTTGTTCCACTGGACTTTCTTCATTCCGCTCTTCTCATTGAAAAGCTGCTCAAAGGCAAGAGCTGGCTGTAGGACCATAAGCTTTTGTGATGGGAGCAATTCTGCCGAAAGTGTGTTGTAGAAGTTGCAGACTTGCTTTAGCTGCACGGCAAAGCGATAGAACTTCAGACCGTCCTGCACTGCTAGCTTGACTTTGTTTGGCACGTTGCAGCCCAACTGCTCAAAGATCCGTGCCTCCTTCACAAGCTCTATCAGTCGCTCGGAGTATGTGATTTTCAATGCTCCCTGCTGTGCCGTGTCAAAGTCCATCACGCGGCTATTCATCTCAAGAGCAATGGGATCCTCGGGATCCTTCAGTTGCGACTCCACTTCATCGCACCAGTCTTTGTACGCTCTGTTTCGAAACTCCTTTAGTTCTGCACGGACCTTCTTGTAGGTGTTGCCAACCTTGCCTGCCGAGTGCAAGTCCTTCAGAAAACCGGCGAGCGGCCGAGCTGCCAGATCCGCTTTGCTCCGCAGCTGCTCTACCCAAACCATCTTCCGTGCATGCAAACTAAGGCCACGACCAGCTGGCAAGTTACTGGAATCAAAAGTCTCTAGCTCTGCCTGAACTCGGCCGAGAAAGTCGTCTAACTCTGTAAGCAGCCTCTCACGTTCATTGGTCAAGGACTCCCGGATGTTGCGGCGTTCCAGAAGATCTTGGTATCTTTGGAAGACTCGTACAGTCTGGGCTGGATTGGATGTGTTTGTGAAGAGCTCTGCACGGAGACGTTCTGCAACTTGTGCTTCGACCGGTGCCATTCGCGCCTCGTATTCTGCAAGGGCAGTGCGCCAGGCTGGCACAGTATAGTCGTTGTAGCTGAAGGCAGACAACTTCAAGAAGGGTTCAAAGCAACTTTCAATTTGCATCGCTTTGAGCTCATCCTCGCTGAGGAGCTTCAGGATTTGGTCGTGCTGCCCACGCAGTTGGGAAACTTCTTGGATACGCGCAGCAAGGTTCGTGAGGAAGGGATCCTTGTAGGCTTCACCTTCCCATCGGTTGTCGCTTGACCTCCATTGCACGTCCGTCAGATCCACGGTGACCTCGTTCCAGCGCTCACAAACTTTGTGCCCTTCTCGGATGTGCTTGGACACCTGAGAGAAAGATGATGTCCACACGTTCAGGCTGTTCAACCTGGCTTGCACACACCTACCCAGAGCACCGGCAATCACTCTCAAGAAGTGAAGCATCCTCGCTGCTGGATATTGAGGCGCCACGTCGCACTGCCATAAGGAATCCAGTGAGTCCATGAGAGTCTCAACAAGTTCAAGTAACTGGGGAAACGTCTTCTTTGTTAAATCATCCAAGTCGGACGCAATGGGTGCAAGGGCATCTGAGAACTTGCTGGCACGGTCTACTGCAGCATCGCCCACACCGGTAGCATTCTTTAATTCTTCCCAGAAGTGAACCTCATCCACTGGTGTGACGATCCCTGACATATCATTGTCATCAAACTCGCCAGCATTCCGACTTCGGAGTCCACGGCGAAGAGACGCCTTCAGGCCAGCATCCAGCTCCACCAAGCTGTCTGTCAGACGGCCTTCAAGTCCATCCGTTCCCTCCTTGGTCTCCACCAAGAGTGGCATGTATACTTCATGCACGTTGTAATACAGGCTGCGAACAGCAGACATTCTGAGTGACGACACCATCACGAGCCTAGAGATGTTTGCCTCTGTTAGGGGCTCATAAGAGGTCTTCACGAAGTGCATCTCGGGCAGTCCCTCTGCATAGCTGGAGAAGCCAAGCTGGAACGTAACAGTCCGCTTTGATGTGTCCCCTGAATCGTTCTCAATGGCCTGGAGGATCTTCTCGTTTGGATGATCCAAAAACTTTTCCAAAGCAGTATTGGAGGTTGTGTTGCTTCGGAATTCGTTGCGAGGAATGTTCAGCACGCTGATGATGCACTGGACAATATACTCTTTTCGGGGATCCGTCATGGCTGTCAATGAATTCAGACGAATTGAACCATCTGCTTAAGTCTGGTGTATAGCGCTTGGTAAGGCTTCCATGGCTACTTTGCTGCTGCAGTCGAGGCCACTGTCACGATTGATATTTGGTGTTGCTGGTTGAATGCCAGTTGCAATCACAATCTACCGTGGCTCCGCTGTGATTGGTTCTTTCACTGGCTGGTCGTTCCTGGAAACGGCATCGGCATGAGAGGTCTTGCTCACAACCCGGAAGGTTTACCCGAACATGACTGATGCGAGTCTACTCTTTCACTGCTGGTGGTTGCGGGTTGGAGAAGGCTGTTGCAGAAACACTCAATTTTTCGATTCAAGCGTGTTCACGCGCGATCAAACTATGGATAGCTTCTGGCGTCGTTGGCCAGATTTTTTTTTGTCCTGGCAGGGGTTCTTCTGATCAGAAGCCATGCCCCCAACTACATGACACAACTGACACACCAAAAAATGGGCTGTTACCTCAGACTCTTTTTAGTTCCCCCACACACCACAGCGGAGGGAAGGTTTCAAGGAACTGAAGCTTCTCGCACCTGACCTTCGTGGTGTGGAATTCAACTAGTCGGTGCAGTGCTGCCATCGTAGCGGCTGCACGGCAATGCATGGAGCATGTCGTGATGTCTTGGCTCTCGCAACATGGCAGAAGCCGTCAACGCGGGAGCCCAAAGCAAGAGCAACTAGAGGGAGCCCAACTGCCACCAAGACGAAATTCAGATACAAGCATTCTAGGTTTTGTGAGCGCATGGAGGCAACGGCAGCAACAGGCATGTCACGGTTTGCCCACGCAAAAAGGCTAATCAACTTTGGCACCTAGGGTTATAAATGCCAGCTAGATGATGTCAATAAAAAGTTCAGATGTGCATTGCGGCACTTCGAGCAGGGAATGACCCCCAGATACCTCCAGCGTTAGTATGCCTTCGTCATATTGCAAAACAGCTTGGCCGGCATGAAAGGACACAAAGGCCACATAAGGATGAAGGCGTCTTTCCACCGAGCCAGTACCCGCAGTTTGACACGTGCAATCTAAGTTTATCGCATACAAAGTCTCCGAATGTGTGCGGCACGGGCAGAGTTCCATAAGGCAGCAAACACGCACGGGCACACACTCACATCACCCCCGCCCACGACCAGGCCTGCGCTTGCGGGCTCTCACAGACACAAACAGCAAAACAGTGGATGGACAGCCCGTCCGTACTTCCAAAACTAACTACCGTTCCGAATCACAAGCTGTGGCAAGCCGTTTAAAAGCATCCGTGGGAACACGAGTTTTACAGTCACACACTTGGAAAATGTTTTCTGCACTTGCGGACAAATGCACCTGAAGTACATGCTCGAGCTGTAATTTGACGCAAACCATCCCACTGCAGCATGTGATGAGTCATGGGGGTCGAACCATCATGCATGTCAGATTGCGGCAAGCGTGCGAAACAGCTGCATGCTCAGTCAACGGAAAGGGCGAAACTGAAAAACTCTGGTCTCGCTGCCTCAGGGGGCCAGCGTTTGCTAATCTTGCTGCCTTAGGGGGCCCAGCTTGCAGGTACACAGTTCAGCGTCCTGAACTGCTTCCCACTCCATGGCATAGCTTCGTTGCATTGGGTCTGCCAAGGAGTGCCCAATGCCCCTCCAAAATCTTAGTAAGAACTGCCCCTTACTTCATGTACGAGGGGAGTCCACACACACACACTGCCCCATCATGGGGCGCGTGCGAACAGATGCAACTGCAGAAACGGTCTTTTCATGCTGCGATGCTGTATCTCGAAAAAGTGGCCTACATGGTCGGCAAGGTGGCATTGAATTAGTCGGGTTCGCGGTGTTCGTGATCGTTTGCGTTTGGTAGGAGAGGATCTACCAACGCTGTCGTTGAGGTCAGTTGTGGCGGTAGGTGGATTCGCAGAGTGCATGTGCGATTGGTCATCTCTGCTGCGAATAGAATTGAGCCAGGTACGTGTGGCAATGAACCAAGTCCAAGACAAGCGACCCTCATGGTCGCGCCACCAGTACCACCGCCAGTCGGATTTAACTGGGGGCCTCGAGCGTGGTGTCCTGTTCATGATGCATGTGGAGAGCGTAGCAAGAGAGAAAAGGCTACGGAGAGCATGTAACGTGGCAAGAACATGTATAAGCGACCGAAAATAAAGCCGTATGCAGAAAATCTTTTGCGGTGCCATGCCTGATGTGTCGGGTCTCGGGCTCAAGACCAATCCGGGGTGCCTTGATGCACCAAGCTCTCTAGGTTGTCCAATTGCTGCTTGCAGCTGGACATCATGGCTGTCATTGCCTCATGTTGTGTTGTGAGAAGGGTAGTGGCCTGCTGCATGAGGCACTCTAATTTGTGCTGTGACTCCATTGCCACCTTGTGTAAATTCTCCACGAGGGTGATCACTTCCTGTGGAAGCCGGTGGGAAAGGTGGGGTGAGGGTGCTGCAACCTCCATTGTCTCTTCTGGTGGTTCTTCATCTTCATAAGATTCTTGAACAGCTTCAAAGGTTTGGGTAGCAATTCGCAGCACTTGCTTGCGTAGCTCCGGCTTTTTGTCTGGCTGCGAGGATTGTGCCGGGGTGGTCGTTGATGGGGAAGACCAAGGCTGAGAAGAAAAAGAAGAATGATCCCGTCGAGGCTTGTGGCGGCGTTGTTTCTGAAACTGTCGACGGGCTGGCTGACTGCTCAGGGCTTTGTGTGTGGGCTGGATCTTCCCACTCATAGCACTTTTGTACATCGTAGCGTTAAGAAGCTCAAGAAAGAAATGCTGCGGTAAACGCACAAGCTGTGGATGTGACGTCACGAGAACATGAGCCAATGCAACACGTGTGGCAGGCAATGTTGTTTCTTTTCCGTAGTGGAGCAGATTCAGCGTTTGCTTGCACTGGCGGTGGTGCTGGTAATCCCGTGTTGTTTTTTGAGGGGAAACCTTTTGAACAGTCTGGGTTTGCAGCGTGGGAGAAGTTTTTGTATACGTTTGAATGTGTGGAAATGGTGATGTAGAGGTGGAGTGTCAATGATGTGGAAAACACCTTTGTCGAGGAATGTGTTGGTGAGTGCTGTGTGGTACAATAGTGGGCAGTACCACATGAGTTTGTTGGGGAGGTGATCTTCGTTGTGGAGGATCCCTTTTGGGATCTGTTGTCGGGCGTTGCCGACAATGTGGAGGTTGAGATGTTTGGTGAGGTGTTGCTGGTGAAGGTGAAGTTGTGCTTCGACGAAGGCTGTAATGGTTGGGTCCTCTGGGGATGGGACAGGGAGGTGGTGTTGCCGACGCCAGCGTTGAATGGCTGTGCGGCGGTCATCCTTCAATCGTTTTGTCGGAGGGAAAAATGTGCTTTCGCCGGAGTACCGGAGAAAGGGGTGCTGAGGTGCCAAGCAATGTAATGGAATGGCGATGTGGCCCTCGAGTATGTGCGCAGGGTGTTGACGCTGCAGTTGCTGACATGTACATTGGGGAGCGTGATCCGGGCGCCACTTGTGGTGGAATGCTCGCCAGCTGTGTAAGTGGTCTTGGACGCATGGATGATGGCATTCGTAGATGACAGTGGTTGTGGGGGGTGTAGTGGTAGGGTGTGTTCGCGGTGTAGTGTGATGCGTTGTCTGAGGAAAGATCGGGTAGTGGTTGTTTGGGAAGGGCGGGCGAGGAAGGGAGGGAAAGTGGTCGACGTGTTTTGGGAATGGGCAAAGATCGCTTGCGTGATGCTGCGTTGATGGCTTTGTGGCTGGTCGTTGGTGTGTTGTTGGCAGATTGCGAGAAATGCGGTGGTATGCGTACATCTGGGAGGGGGTACGTCTCCTCAAGAGCTCTTTGATGCTCTCAAAGCGTCGTTTGGTGTTGGACGCGAGGTTGCAAACGGTTTGCAAAACCTGGATTTGGCGTTGGAAGGTTCGGGATTGGTGGAGGGGTCGTAACGTCGGTGGAAGGTGTCGGCGTCGAAGTTTGCTCCATATAGAAGCAATGCCGGATCGTTGTGATAGTTTGTTGCGTGTGGCTGGGCTGGCTGGGAAATGCCCCGAAAGACGCGCTTCACGTATGGTGCGATGTGGGGGTAGTTGAGTTTGGGCTGAAAGTGCTGAATGAAGGTCTGTTCCTGTGCCTCCAGGTGGGAGTGTGGTATGTTGTATTGTATAACAAGTGGAAGAAATGTGTGGTAATTGTGGCGATGTCTCCACCATCGTAGTGACAACTCGGCATCTACGATGGCGTCCTGCTGCAGTTGCTTGAACTTGCGATTGCGATTGCTTTCGCGAGTTTGCATGTTGTTGTGTGTGCAACCGATGTACATGAACTTGTGGTGGCGTCTGGGAATGGTGACGCGGGCGTACACAACGCCAGTGTGACTGAAATGTTCAAAAGTGTAGGTGGTGTAGTGAAGTTGAGTGCGGTGGCAAAATTGTCTGATGATGTGCAAGTGACCACGTTGTTGTGTAGTGTGATAGGTGAGGGCGTGGAGGAGCACACAACCGCCTGCCAGCCATAGGCCGATTTCGTGCGCTTTGGTGGAGATCGATTCGGCTTCTGGTAGAAGATATGTCAAAGTGGTGATGGTGTTGGTGAGGTGAGTTGAATGTTGACAAAACTGATGCTGTGGAATGTGCTGCGTAGATTGCGAGATGAGTCACTCAGTGAACTGAGCTATGACACTGAGTATGAGCATGAGGTGCGTTGACTGAAGCTTGCGGACCTGTTGCGGTGGTAAGCCCCATGCTTCTGCATTTTTGCGGAGTTGTTCTTTTTGTTCTGTACTGAGGGAGGGGTATTGCTGCTTAAGCAAGTCTTCAATGTTGGAACGGACTTCATGCTTCTTTGTCATTAGGGAGTCGTAGTGAGCCGATCCATCGCTGAATGCCAGCGTCCGTAAGGGCCCCAGTGTAATTCTGGGAGAACCATTGGGAGGTTCCTGGGGGCGGCGCAAAAATATTGGTTTTGCTGGTCTTGCCGGGGCGCCCGGGAGTCTGGTTTGCACCCTGCGTCTTTTGATAGTGGACGCTGGGCTGTCTGTGACAGCAATGGTGCCTGTGGGTGGTGACGGACTGGGTGTGGCGGAAGTGGGGGGAAGAGGGGTTGGTGTGGGACATTTCGTGGGTTGGGGGGAGTGAGTGATGGGTAACGCGGTGTTGGTCGTACTGTGGTTGGGTTGTGGGTGGCGGGTGAGGGAGGTGGTCGTTTAGACGGTGGTGTGGAGGGTGCGGCCTGGGATGGTGCGGCGGCTGCGAGCTGTGCTTTTGGCTTGGGCCAGTTCTTGCTCAAGCTGCAGGATCCGATGGTTTGATTGGGGATCAGCTGGTTGGGTATAGCCGTGGGTGGTGGGTCATGGATCAAGCCGCTCATGGAAATGGGTGGGGTGGCGCATTGGCAGTGTGCCAATGCGATGCTGTCAAGACCCAGCTTGTTGTGGTTGATGCGGGACATCAACTCTGTCACGAACATTGCATGTGAAATGTGTCGCGTGAAAACGGTGTAAATGTCGTGTCCGTGACATAGGTAGCGGAGCCAGTAAGAGCTCCATGAGTGCCGAACCACGGACAGCAGCGGGACTGCTTCGATAGGGCAGCCTGCAATGCCGAGACGTTGCGTGTACGGTGTCGATTTCACCGTTTTTGGGAGATCGTAACCGTATACGATTCTGCAGTCGTGAAATTCGTCAGAAGGGATGAAGTCGCTGGGTAGGGGTGGTGGTGTGTGTTAAAGGGTGGAGGGGAGAGAGCGGGGAGTCCGGAAGGGAAGAGGGGGAGACGGTGGGAAGGAAGGTGGGAAAGGGGGTCGTGAGTGTTGCGGTGTTTGGGGTCTTGCGACTGAATTGCTCTGGTCAGAAGGCCGCTGGATGCTTTGTATATGCCTCGATGCCCCAAAGGTGGTGGGGGCGGTGGTCGCTGCATGTTGAGGCACTGTGGCAAAAGTTTGTGACTGGGCGCCTTGCTTAAGCCTTTAAAAGTTGAGAAAGAAAGGCATCAAAGCTGCAAGAAGGACATGTAATGGTGCTGAACTGACGGCGGGACCTCAGTATTTTGCACTCACTCGCTGGCAATGCTGCTGTCTACCGACGAAGAATGCACGGCTGCAAAGCTAATTGTTGCCTTCTGTTGGAAGACAACTGATGGGCATTCCTTAAGAAAATGACAAGGGCACCTGTAGGCAGCTCTCACAAGCATTTTGGCGCAAGCTCTTGAGGCCGAGACCGGTCTTGAAGTCGTCGAAGGTTGAGACTCTCGGTATGGAGTGTCGGTGGTGCAAGGCTGGCTTACAACATCACTGTCTAAAAGCATAGAGGCGCTCGAATGTTGAGGAGACTCGCTGCGGGCTGAGGCTTGTGCTGAGTGATCATTGTGCTGACTTTTGCGTGCTTTTCGTGAAATCTTCTTGGACTTCTTGTGCTCGTGTTGTTTTTTGCTCTTCTTGATGCGTGCTTTTGAGGTCTTGGATCGGCGGCTGTGTGGTACCTGCACTTGAAGGCTGACCGCCCTGTTCAAGAACGGCCATGCCTGAATGCCAAGAGGATTCGTCGTCGGAGGCCATTGCAGTTGAACTGTTGCAGGGCAACTGATTGTGAAAGTTGTTAATGTGCGGTGGCTGCCAACGAGTGACACGAATTGCAAGAAAATTGGCGCACTAGCGGCCTTATACCCTGCAGCGGCGGAGTGCAATCAGCGGTTGTGCCCCACAACGATGAGGGCTTTTACATGCAGGTGCCCTGCGTGGGCCCCCCATCTTTCGGGGTTGCGAAAAATCCCACGTCTGCGGCAGATGAAGGCCTCGTCTATGAGGCTGCCCCATTGTGCTTTGTAGTGCTGCTCGGTGCCAGCAAAAGAGCAGATGAGGATAACATCCTGACACCCTTTCAGCTTTTTCAGGATTTGTGAGGTGCAAACATTCACAGTGTAATCACTCAGCTCTCCAGGTGTACACGCACCGTACACTACACATGATGGAGCGCGCCCTCCTTTGGGTAGCGCTGTAGGCCTTAAAAACTCCTTCCCTCAAGATCTCGGCGCCGCACTCGAAGGAGGTACCGTGAGCAAAGCTATATTGGTGAGTAGAAGGAAGGGAGTCCCTCCATTCCTGCTTTGTCACTCCAAAGGGCACTGGCCCGCTAAAAGGCGTGCGGTTGCAGTCGAGCAATGAGGGGTCGTCCAAAGAAATCAATATCGATGGATACAACCCGTCGACTTCAAAGAAGCGCAAGGCTTGTAGCCCCTGACGCAAGAAGCATCTGGGCCAAAGACAACAGCTGGTCATCGGTGAAAGGGTCCATTCCGCTGTCACCTCCTCTTTCCCGGAGCTTGCCCAGCCAGTCTTGGGCTTCATCGATGTCGTAGGAAAGAGGAAGGGTTTCTGTGTCAGTGGGATCTCCGCAGCTGGTCCGATGTCGTTGCAGGGAGGTAGGGCTGTGCTGAAAACATTGAATGGTCGGGGTGATGCAGTGGAGGATGGTGGTGGTGGCTGTGGTGTGCTGCTTGTGGCGCCGAGAAGATTGGCCTAGCGCCATAGTGAGCGCCACTCGTTGAAATTGTTGTCTCAGCGCGTGGGCAGGCTGGAGCACAATGCGTTGTTTAGATTGCGGTGAGCGGTGGCGTGGGGGTGTGCGTGATGGTGTGGTGCCGCGAGAGTCCCCGCGTCCAGATCTGCTGTTGCTGCGGCTGCGTCGAGGGGTGTGCCGTGGGGTTGTGGAGCGGCGTCTCCGGCGCGCATGCTGCCGGGAGCGGCGTCTTTCACGCCTGCGGCGTGAACGTGTTTCTGAACGCCGGCGGCTGTGGCGAGGGGATGCGAGGGGTATGGCTGGTGTGTCCTCGTGCCCATGTTGTGGCTGCCCAGAAACGGTGTTGTCCGGAGGGGGTTGTGCTGTAATTTGTGGTTGTGGTTGGGTGGTACATATGGGTGTGAATGAAAGTTGTAAGGTGCGGCAGGGCCGGGTGGGTTGTGGGGAACAGGTGTCGCCGCATGTGGTGTGGGAGGCTGCAGGAAATTGCCCGGTGGAGCTGTGTGATGAGGTGGAGGAGTGGTGTAGTGAAATGGTGGCGGGGTCGGCGAGTGCTGAAATGTGGGTGGCTGCGTTGGAAAGGTTGTCGGTGGCTGCGGTTGTGGTGCTGGTGGTGCAGGTGGTGGGTATGAATGTGGAGTAGCTTGTGGCGTAAAGTGGTGTACGGGCAATGTGGGTGGGTGTGCAGTTGGTGTCGGGAAGTGCGCCGGAAACTGAAAATTGGGGTCGTGCACTGGTTGTGGCGGTGGAGTGTTTGTGAGGGGGTGGGTAACTGGTGTTGCGTGTTGTATCATGGTTTTGGTTGGTGTATGTTGGTGTTGTGGTGTAGTGAAGTAAGGAGCAGCCATGAATTGCTGCGGAGGCTGACAAATGGTTTGCGGTACCAGCGATGGTTGCTGGTACAGCTGTTGTTGTTGCGTCGCCGGTGTTGCCAAATGTGGGGGCTGCTGTAGCTGCGTTGGCGGGTACATCTGCATGTGTTGCTGCAAAGGAGGGGCAGCCGTAGGGAAGGGCTGCTGCTGTGACGTCGGTGCTGGCTGCATCGCCGCTGGGTGAAACTGCATCAGCTCGAAGGCGGAATAGGGAAGAGTAAAAGGAATGCAAGAAATAGCCAGCGGAGCAGACCTAATAGATGCACATGCCGACCTGCGCGCACACAGACACTCATGTCTCGTCCGAACCTGGACGAGAGGGCCTTAAATCTGAACTGAACAGTACCTTGAGCCTCATCGGGTCCTCATGAATACATGATGAAAGAGAATCGTCAGAGAGAGACCGTGGTCCCCATTGAAGGGGAAAGAACGCATCCCCATGCACGAGGACTGCCTCAAAATGAGACCACCACGGCGCCGTGACGGAAAGCCGTTGTAACACACTTGGAAAGTGTTCTCTGCGCTCGCGGACAGATGCACTTGAAGTACATGCTCTAGCTGCTCTAGCTGTAACTTGACGCAAACCATCCCACTGCAGCATGTGATGAGTCATGGGGGTCGAGCCATCATGCATGTCAGATTGCGGCAAGCGCGCGAAACAGCTGCATGCTCAGTCAACGGAAAGGGCGAAACTGAAAAACTCTGATCTTGCTGCCTCAGGGGGCCAGCGTTTTCTAATCTTGCTGCCTCAGGGGGCCCAGCTTGCAGGTACACAGTTCAGCGTCCTGAACTGCTTCCCACTCCATGGCATAGCTTCGTTGCATTGGGTCTGCCAAGGAGTGCCCGATGCCCCTGCAAAATCTTAGTAAGAACTGTTGCAAGCATGATTGGGTTGTGAGCCCCTTACCTCATGTACGAGAGTCCACACACACACACACACACACACACTATCTTCGCTTCGCTTCGCTTCACAGGGGTCAGGCTCAGAGAGCCCCTCTCTCTCTCTCTCTCCCGCATATTCGTTTCAGCCTCCTCAGTCGGTGCTTTGGTAACAATGCGGTAGTCACGTCGCGAAGCTGTCTTCTCAGAGTACTAGCGCTGGCTGCTCCTTCTTCACTTTGGAAGCTCGCAACTCCTTTTCTCTTTCCTGCAGGCTTCTCGGCCGTGACACGAACTTGAAAAACAGCCTTGGCATGCCAAACGGGCGCAGACCTTGGCCTGCCTGACGACAGCCTTGGTCATCTCGACGTCCCGCAACAGAAGTGACAGCTTCCTTCGGGGGGGAAACAGAACACGGCCTGTTTCCGTCACAGAGCCCGTCTCCTGTGAAATGCGGCCCGGCCATCTCTCAAAGCCAAGTTGAAGTCAAAGAGATCGGTGAAGCTGCTGCCCTCACTAAAGGTCACAGACCTATCGCAGAAGTCACGGCATCATCAAGTGCCTTCCAAGCGGAAAGGCTCCTTGAGTCGACCATGTGCAGCTCGTCCGCCCTTAGAACCAGACAAAGCCGAAAGAACACAGGACCACCCTTTGAAGAGTCAGCCAAGGTCACGGCTCTATCCAGCCTCTGATCGTGACCTGGGCTGTGGACAAAGTACAATCTCGGCCCACAGTCCAATCTTATATCACTGGACTCACCCACGTCAAATGGACCAGAGCCATCTGGGTAGGTAATGGTCACAACCTGAGATTGGCGTTGTTCATCCACTTTGCGGTTGCGGCTCACGGCTCAACAACCTGAAACCTCGCCTCGCCAATGATCTCAGACCGAAAGAAGGTCGCACGATCTGTCCTCGAGTGATACACGGTCCGACGCTAGCACCAGCACTCCGCAGTTCATTAAACACAAACCAGGATGCTAAGCTCATCGAACTGAACCCGAAGCAGCCCATTTGCACACGTGTTTGCGATTGCCGAGCTTGCACCAGTTGCTGAGAACACGACACAGGTTCTTGAGGGGTAACAGAGTATTTCTGCATGACCTTGTCCACAAGTGAATCTGAAGCTGGCAGCCAACGGAATCTTGGAAAGGTGCATGACGGACCGCAATATACCGCAAAACATTCCAAAGGGCCTGGTAAGCAACGAGATGCGAATTGTCGGCCGGACCGACATACTCCCAAACGAGACCAATCATCACGAAGCCTTGAACGCGGTACCTGCCACGCCGGATGCGTTAATCTTTGCTAACCCCGAAAACTCGCAGGATTTTTGAGGGCAACACCACCTAGTGGCCGCCTCGTTCAAATCGATCACCTTGCAGCTGCAACAGGTCTTTCCCACAATCTAAGAACCTTGAAATCCACCAAATACCTAATGACCGAATGATGCTTCTTGACGGAAAGTGAGTGCTCTGCGCTGAGACGAATATTCTGGCACTGCTGCCCTTCAACGGCCTGCAACAGGGCAAGGACGCTGCTGTCAGAAATGACAAATACATACAAAAACGGGATCAAGACAGAGTCATGAGTGACAAAACAGCAAATACAGCATACACGCAGTGCATGTATCAGAGTACACATATGCATATGCACAGACATATACATACATGTTAAAAAGGTGCATGTATGTCTGCATCGTATGCTTGTGTAATTATGCATTCTTGCACAAAGCACCCCATGTTGGTGATGCAGCGATTCAGCGCAACACACAAACACAACGTTAATCCCCTCCCACCTGCCTGCCCTGCCACCTGCGCCCCTGGGCCAACCAAGCCCACCACCCTCCTTCCTCCGGCCCTAACTGCGGCAGATAGGCTGTTTGTTCCTTTCTCCTCCTCCTGCACCCAACAACAAGTTTACTCTTGCGAAAAATCAAAAGCGCCTGCCGGGATCCGAAAAAACACAAGTTCGCACCGAAGGCGGCTGCCAAACCACAAGGCTACGGTTAACCAGGCTTCTGGGTTGGTTCATCCTTCGAATTGATACGATTAATGCTCTGGAAAAGCCCAACACCCTAACTGCGACAGTTAGGGTTGCTGCAGCACAAAGAATCACTGTCTGTCCTCGTCGAAGTCTCGAACTCCAGCTCCATCGCTAAGTCGATAAAGAACCGCAGAGAACCACGAACCGCAGACGGCGAACCGCAAAAAACAAGAAACGGTCAAAACTGCGAACCGCACAGAATCGAACCGCACAGAAACGCTCCCTTTAAGAACAGAAGCGAACCGAATGGAACCGCGTACTTCCTGGGTTTGGTCTTCTTGAATCATGTGTGGCAGTGTGATTGGCAGCTTGCTGACCGGTTATTCCGTAGCCTTCAGAATTTCTTGTGTGGACAGGCTTTTGGTGGTTTTAGTGATTGCTTTCGTCGGCAGAGTTTTAGAATTTACTTTGACAGTGAGTTCACTTCTGTGGTCGCAAAGTCAACAATATGCCTTGGGTATGCCGAAGGTGGCCGAGTCAATCAAGCTGATTGACACACACACACACACACGCGCAACATGTGGTTTGTGCTTTCATGGTATGTGCCGTATGCCCCCAGCGGCATGCTGGGCCGCATTGCATTGTTCCATTGCATTACTTTCCGAGGTCCACCCCCCCATCCCGGCAATTTCACAATTGTTTGTGTTGTATTGTAGCCACTCCCGACTTTCTTGCTGCCCGCCCAGCTTTCTGCACTGCCGGCACCCTTGCTAGCTGTCCATCACCACGCCTGCGGTCATCCGTCCCTTGTCAAATCTTGCCTACACAGTTACCCTATGCTTCCGCACCCTATTTCGATAAAATGTGCCTATGCCGACAAATTCCTGAAAACGCAGATACGACAGCTCCTTCACAGCTTCAGCGTCTGTTCCACCATACTTTACCTGCGTGAGCCACTAACGAGCTCGCGATTACAACTGCAAGGCCTCGTCATGGCTGCATGAAGCATCAGGATGAAAAGGTAGACTCTCAAAGCTTGAGACTGCGGCCAGAACAACACAGCTTTACACAGCAAACCTCAATTCAGAACTTGGCCTGCATCATGCCGTCCAGTAATAGCTTGCCCAGCCCACGCTTGCGCAGCTCGGGCTCAACAAAAATCTGCTTGACCTCCACCGAAATTCTGTCAAACACCGATCTTTGACACCGAATGAGAGTTTTTTGACCTCGACGTACGCCGACGGCACGGGATCCTTCCTGACGATAAATGCTTGCCGGCTACTCTCATGGAGCCATGGTTCGTGGCTATGCACAGGGATGGATTCATAAGCATCCACATTCAGCCAGTCCTCTTCCCCTTATGCACTTGGTACATGACGTACCCTGCCTGTGCAATACGTACACGCTCCTCTCATGCCGCTCCCTAAATCTGGAACGCGTTGTGAATCTCCGCCGCAGGCAACGCCTCACGTCCGTCCTCTCTCGCAACCAGAATGTACAGGTCACGGTAGTAGCGATGCTCCTGTGCATCACTTAAGTCGATTGCCGGAGTTCTTTAAATGCCCGGCAATTCCTGCTTGACAATGCTCACAACTTGCTGCCGTCGACCTCGCAGGCATGCCGCAAGGGTCCATGTGGCAGATCGACACTTCCCTTTGGCCGGCTGGGCAAGAGATGAGGCAGACTGGTTTCCAGGTATCCCGTGTCTGGAAAGGAAGGGGACGTCTTTGCGAATTTTCGCGGAGTTTAACAGAAGTTACCTATTCCGTCACCAAGAATGCAGAGGCCACACTTCTGAATGTGGCTGAAAGTTGAGGAGACAATCGAAGGGTTTGGGGAAGATACAACTGTTGGTGGCGGAGGTCCTTTCCTTTGAATTCTCGCCATCTCCAGCCTTCTGCCTCTTCGCTGTCATGTTGGGAGTCTTGGGGACCGTGTTCATCTCAAAGATCAGGAGATAAGCAGCCGACCTCCGGGCTTCTCCAGGATCTCCCTGGGGCAAACCAAGCCTCAGACGCCGATGCACAATGCAAAAGCGAAATGACGGAACTCAAGAAATGAAGGCTCGGCTATGCTGCCAGTCCAGGAGTGTCACCTTTTTGCGACCAACAACGCAGAGTCTAGAGTAATTACTTGCTCTTGTCGAGCCTCCTCGTATACCCTGCTTGTCATCGAATGGTGCTCAAGCACGAAACCGTCCTGCACAATGGATACATCTGGACACCGAGTCCACGCAACCAAAATTAGGCACGGAACACACAACCGGTAGCCACAAGCTTATTAGATGGCTGGGGGCCCTTCTTTTCGAAGCCATGCCAAAGTGCACCCCGTGCTGCGTACTCTTGTCACAGGCCTTCTGATGCAGCGAGGGGCCTCCTTGGTACTGATAAGATCAATCAATCAATCAATCAATCAATCAATCACTAATACAGGTAAACAAAGACTTGCGGTCTTGCAAGCACATTCCGAACACACAACAACTCCGAGTCTGGGAGCATTGCCGAGGACTTTGGATTTCACTGATTCCCAACTTGCACTAACTACGTCCTTACCTTGTACTATGTGCCTTCTGGAAATAGGTGCATATTCAATAGCAATGGTGGTGGTTTCCGGCACAAATGGCCACGGCACCTGACCGTGTGTGAACCATGAGTCTTCGGAAATGCATGCGCAAACCTGCCACCTCAGTCATTGCAATGTCGGAAGCACCTAAGGACCTAATTTGATATCAGCGGTCAGCAGGTTCATGTCACGTCCTGCAGCGACATGAAAACCTCCACATCCTCGAGATCGAGGCGCCGGACCTGCTCCTGAGAACCGCCGCATGCAGCCCCCAACTGCCACGCGCTAAGGCTCCATGTGCGGCATTCGTTCCGTTCATGCTCAGCCTTGGACTGGCCCCGGCATGCGTGAGTTCGGCCTGGTGAACTGCGTCTTCGTGAGCCCTGCCTCAAGGCCTCGAAGAACGCAACGAGCCTCCATCACTCGATTGCACGTCTGTACGGAAAACACAGACTCATCCTTGCATCTTGCGTGCTTGCGTGTCTAGTGATCGGTGCCATGCAAGAAATCATGAGCCTGCCCGCATTCGACATTTAACAATGATGGCCTCCGTGATGCTTCTGCTGCCAAACTGACTGGAGCCTCAAACGGCCTGCATGTAAAGCTGGCATGCCTGCAATCTGCGTTCTGATACAACATGTCAACCAGAAGTCTTCGGAATCTCACGCTTCGTCACCACTTATTAACGGTAGCACGTGTCCCAGAGGATAGGTAATTGCCCTGCCGGGGTGCATGAACAGTGAGACGCGATGAGACATCTTGAGACAATTCCGCACACACAGTCGGGCATACTCGCCCACTTCTATGGTGAGCTGACTAGTTGGAGATGAAACCATAAGACAACGTAAACAAGGTGTGAATACCTCTGACTTAGTTGCGATGAGACATGGTGGCTCACATGGCCCTCACTCAATCATCCCAGGCCAGTGCGCTCCGCATGCCTGTCACGGTTGCAAACCGGCTGCGCCAAACGCAATTTCTTAGACAATCTAGCCTGCTGGCGCGTCACCTTTGCCCATCAAGGCACCACCTTTCCGGTATCCCTTCTTTCCCTTTCCTGCTCAGACTCACTTCACAGACACCGGCTACCCTCCTGAACAGCTCCAACTCGCCCAAAGCTACCTGACCTTTTCCAGGTGGTGTCCAGTCTGCCCATCCGGCCTAGTGTCGAGAACGAAGATTGACCGGTTGCTGCGCTAATCCCACTGCTTGCAGCAAGTAGCACAACATATCCGGATCTGTCGGTTTCCAAATCAAACCCTCGTCAAAAGCGATTGATCCGTATCAAAACATAGTCTTGATTAAAGCTTAGCCTGCAAACGCATGCGTGGGCACAACAGTTGTCAGCAGAACAATGCCTGCCTCCTGTCCGGCGAACTGCATCATTAACCATGGATCATTTCGCATTAGCTGACCCTTTTGTCGCATCTCGCGCAGCCTTGGATTGCTGAATCTGCATCAGCCCTGTATTCTCGAACTAATTTGTGTCATCTTGCTCTACACTCACGCAATGCACAAATGTCATTACAGCACTTTCAAGACAGCGACTCATCGCGCCAGAAGTCGTCATCGACTTTTCGTGCTGATGTGGACATCATGTCGCCACTTTTGATGGTTACCTCCGAGTGGCCGGCACGGAAAGCACACTCTGGTAGTTTGCTCTGACACTGTGCTTGGCCTTCAGCTCCTGTCCCAACAGCCATCGACCGTGGAACATCTCCGCGGCGTCGAAGGCTACTCCCTGGCGATCCCAGGCAGGGGCTGGCAAAGAAGCCGCTTGGCTGGCTTTACTTTGCCGAGCGAGCGTCCAACAGCTAGCTTTCACTTGGCCACAGAAACACGGGCAACAGAACGAAGGAAAGCAGCTAACAGGTGCTGTCCAGGCTCACGAGCGCTGACAGTGTCGCCACCGTTCAAAAGGCTGAAAGGCAGCAGGCCTGTCGTACATAGCCAATGGTCGCCGTAGGCAGCGGGCCTTGATCCACCTGAGCTCCGAGCTCGGAGACCTTTCCTCACCCAGTCCAACATTGGCATCAACTAGCCGGCTTGGTTTAGCGGGTGTCTGTCACACGGTTTCTGCATCTGCGGCAGGTGCACTCTTCGTAAAACATTTGCCTCATGCCTCACATGATCATGCCCTTGGAAGGCTTGCACCTGGTGCTGACACGTGCTGGCTGCTTACCGTTGTGTCGGACTCCCCAAGTGCGCGATGACGTGCAATGCAACAGCCGAGGTGGCTGCCTGGATGTTGGCTATCTGCCCAGCCTTGGACATCGCACGAGGGTGGTGTCAGATACATGCGGCTTACACTGCCCGCCTCTTCAAAGAGGTGCTTCAGCTGGTGCCCTTCCACACCAGGCGGAAGGTTCCGCACGAAGATCTGGGCAATGCAGTCCACAACCACATGCTGCACGTGGCGTGCTTGGTACACGGCACAGAACAAGCAGCAAGCAGTAAAGGAAGCAAATCGTGCCGCGTGCCTTGAAGCTCCATAAACCAAATCGTGGCGAATCTCCAGGTCTGAGGCCCCAGCCGCAGAGCCCACTGTCTGAGGTCCCTCAAACTGGTCGTGTTCCCAACTGCCGGGATTTGAAGTCAACACGAAGCTGCCACCAACATACGGAACACATGGCAGCAATTCTCTGGCTCGTCCCAGTCGTACTGCGAGTATCTTGGAAAGCCGTTGTAGTCGGCACTTAGTACCGGCAGTCCGAGATCGAGACATCACCACACCAGCTGTTGAGTCCGACCGAATTTGCTGAGCGGCGAACTCGGCCTCGACCAAGAGCTCGTAAGGACCATCACGCCTGCGGACATAGCGTGGCTTCCCGATAAACTCCATGACTGTCAAAAGGTTCGTGACTAGGGCCGCGGACCTACCGCGAACTTGCCGAATAGGACCGGGCGCCTGCTCCTCCATTCATGTTCCCCATTCTGCGAGGGCGAGGATCATGCACAACATCCGACTCCCAGAGCACACCTCCACGTCAAACGCTCGAGCGAATGCAGACGCTCTTGGATTGCTACCTGCAAATACAGCTTCTGCATGCACAACAGAAGACTGTGAAACCTGGTGTGGCTGCATAGACTTTCTCTTCACTTGGCCTGCAGAGAAACTGCCGCCACTGAGGCTGAAGGAGCCTGTTTTGCAGAGAGAAATGCTCTTAAACAAAAGGAGCAAAGTATGCGAGAGCCGAGAGTTTGCCTCCGCTTGCTGGACTTCCCATCGAACCTGGCCCAACGACAGCGGTAGCGAAAAGGGATGAAAAGGGTGGGAGAAAGCCCCCAAAAAGCGTACCTCCGTACATGCGAGATCCTCGGCCTCGGACCTGCACGCAGCGTGTCTCAGGATCTCGCGTCGCAAGAACGCGCATATACACACATGTCGACACACACACACACACACACACACACACACACACGCACACCCACGCATGCACGCCCGCCCGCCCGCACGCATGCATTCACAAATGATATGAACACGGCAGCATGTCTCATGCAGTCTTCAAATAAGGCCCCAACAGTTCCATCGACCGCTGGCTCCTGCAGGTCTGAGGAATCATGACACCGTGTGCAGCGCAGCAGAGTTGCACAAGCCTCGCTAAACTGCATGTCTGCATGCGACTAAACCCTCGCGCACCATACCCATCTGGCATTACGAAAAGGTAACGAACCTGCACAACCATCTTTCCATGATATATACAGAGACAGATTACACATACTTATATAATATACAAATATACATGCATAAGGGTCTCGGATCGAGTCTGAGGAAACCCTTTGACTGAGAAGTTGTTTGGAACTGCACCGATGAGGTAATCGGTTTAGCAACCGTGGACGACGGATATTGGAGCCTAGCGCCCCTGGCGCTTAGAGCAGCATGGGAGCTCACCCTGAAAGGGTATCGAGTTCGACTGGAGGCTCCTCCTCTCCTCTGGGGTCACAGACTTGAACGGCCCTTCCAATTGTGTAGGGTCTCATTTGTAACTTGATTAGGCTGCGGACTACCTCGGAAAGCATGCGAAGCAAGGTACATGTATACATACATACATATAATCATATGTATATATACACACATATGTACATATATACCTATATAGGTACAAGGGCCCAAGTGACCCAGCAGCGGGTATCTTAAAGGCCCCAGTACCGCACGCAATGGCCGCATAGCGGAAGGCGGTACGCCAGTTTGCAGCTGCCTGGGCAGCTGCAGGGGGGCAACAGCCAGACCTACAATTGGGATTCCATGTTGGTGGGCAACTACACCAACACCCTTGTGCACACCGGCTTCGAGTTCCCGACTTACAGCTGCCACGGCTCCAGCAAGAAACTGTTCGCATGTGTGGATGACGAACATGTGACGCTCAGAGTGGCAGTGTTTGATCACCAGGGACACTTGAAGGACACCATTCCCACAGGACAAGAACACTTGGTCGTTGTCCGGCTCTTCTTGACCCCGGAAGAGCTGCAGCTGCTGATGGATAGCGTCCCGAAGTGGGATATGGCCGGTGCCATTCCGTGCACCACAAAATCGAACATGAGCGAGATCGACCTCTTGGTTTGCAATAAGGACCTGGAAACCGACGCCAAAGCCAAAAGCATGGTGGGTGCCATTAAGGATGCTTTCCGAAATGGTGCTTTCGGCTGGATGAGCTGCTTAGCCAACATCAAGAACATGTAGGCCAAGGTGTATCCGGAGCAAAACGTCTACGCCAACCGTGGCTACACCACGAACATGCACTGGATCGTCGGCCCCAATGCCGTCTTCTTGAGAATCATGATGGCTATGATGGAGCACGAGTTCAATGAGACATACGACATCTTTTTCCTGACGGAGATGGATGCCGTCCCCATTAGGGACCACTGGCTCGACAACTTCGAGATGGAGGCCCACGAGATGGCCGATAATGCCATGGCCATCCGCGGGAGCCAGTACTTGGGCGACAGTTGGGACCTGCTCAGAGCAACGATGCCGACTTACTTGGCGGAGCACATCAATAGCAAAGCCTTGTATAACCTCAAGCACCTTGGACCGAGGCGGTGTGCGATGCATTCCACAGCATGGATGGCGGCAGCATGATGGAAGGGATGGCCTTCGATGAGCCATTCGCCATGATTAACATGGATGCGATGTCAAGGAACACTAGCAGATGAGCCGTTTCAGGTTTAGTCTGCCTCTTTCAGTGGTTCGGCACGTGTGTATGTGTAAACGCTGTCACTGCACATGGATGCGTGTTTGAACGGGCGCGGCGATTTTTGAATTCTGCTGTGTGGGGCGTAGCTTGAAGTTGGCCTCTCCCGTCCCCTGGAGGAATATGCTCAGGCTAGATATAATATAGTTTCGTAGGTGTCAGCTGTGACTGCATGTCTGAGTGGAGTCTGCTAGAAGCAACACTCAGGAGCCTTGAAGTGTTGGTGCGCTTGCAAACTGCAAACGTCCTTGTTTCGCCACGGCACTTATGTTTGCCACACCGCGCTAAATAGCCCAATGTCGTAGCTTGCTTGTTGCCTGCGGGATTGCACTTCGGTTTGTGTGTTCCCGTTTTCCCGTCGTTTACGAAGCAGCGCGGAGTCACAATGACCACGCTGAGAGAAGTAGTAAGTTTGGTTTTGTGGCAGGATGTGACGTAGCCGCTTACGGATTTTTTACGTAGCTGCTGTGCAGCTGGCCGGGTCTACAGCGGTCCGCCTTCCCTGCCTAAACCCTGATGTGCCAGATTTCTGCTCGGCTTGTGTCAAACATCAGCTAGTGCATACTGGCAGTCAGTGGTTTCGTTTGCAAGTTAATTAGGCAGCGAACTCCTCTGAATGCTTGGAAATGGAAATGGATATAGGTACATATATGCATATAGAAGTACATATATGGTGCAGCACTGCTAGGCCCCCCTCCCCCACCCCATGGTATCCCCCCTCCCCCGTGTGGTTCCCTGTGGTGTGGGTTCCCCCTGCCCCTCCCCCCTGTAATTGCGGTCGGCTGCGCCCCCTTCCATGGCTATTTCTGGCTGGGCGTCCCGTTGCTAAGGGTTTGGAGCTTAGGATGTGATACAGTTCCACCGATCTCCGACCTGCCTTCTTGAGCTCCAAAGCCAATTATGAATATTACGGTGATGATGATGACGAAGATGGTGGTCATTATCCCCATCCGCACTTTCCTCCGGTCCCTTGCTCAAGAGTCCCGAATGAAAATCATTCATTCACGTGCTCAAGCTTACTTTTGACGAACCCAACCGAAACTTGGTTTGGAATGACAACGGTCGATACAGTTTTCGCAAAAACATCACAAGCCAAGCACGATTTTCATTTAAATTAAAGCAATGAACATGCCGTGCCGAAGCCCAAAGCAAGATAAGAGCCGAGCCAACAATAGCCACACTGGGAATAACACATCAACGTCATTGTGCACAACATCATCGCCATCATTCTCGATTCTCATCTGTGTGTCGAAGGGGCAGGGATGGCGCCCTGTGGTTCCCTGTCTTTTGGTTGCATGTGTTGTGGGTTATGCCTCCCGCGCCCGGGGGCATACCATGGGGGGGAGCCTGCGGCGCAGCGATGCGGTAGAAGTTCTGGGCCTGCTACTCCCCTACCCCCCCCCCGCCGCCCATGGTATCCGCCCCCTGGGCCCTCCTCCCAGGGCTGTCTGCGACAACAGTCACAGGGAATAAGCTGCTGGTTGGGGTCACGATCCTCGTGACAGAGGATGGGATCGACATCGCCATGTCAACCCGCCAATTCTTTTGGATGTTTGGTGTCACGTTTTCCCTAACTCTCGCAAGTTTTCGACATGCGAGGCAACTTCCCATCTCGAACATGGCACAAGTAGCTGGTACGATATCGTGCTTTGCATGATTGTCTTTGTTTTTGCGGGGCAGGTTGCAAAACAAGGTTCCAAGGTTCGCACCGGAACAGAACCCACCACTCAAACCACGCGGGGGAGGAGTCGTCGTGTGTTAATGCAATGCTCCACGAGTGCACCAGAGTGAGAGCTATACCACAGCGACAGAGGCAAGGAAAAGCGGTACCTCCAGTGTAGTAGCAATCGCAACAAGGATGACAATACAACTGATAGCTGTAACCGTACCTGTGTAGGTTTGCTAGCTGCTCAGCAGCCAATCCTATGTAAGTACAACAGCACAGCACCCGACAAGTCAGCCAAGATTGCAGCTTCTGCTTGGCGGCATGCTGAAGGACTTAGACTCAAGCTTGGAGAAAAGGCCGTGTTCCTGCATACCTCAACACATGGCGAACACCAGAGGCACCACCACAGGGAACGACGCCAAGCGACCAGGACCAAGCAACATCACAAACAGCATACCACCGGGGGGGGAGGGGGGTAGGCTACCATTGGGTGGTGAGAGGGGGGACTCCGGCACGGCATCATATATATGTACATGTGTACATGTATACACATATACATGTATACATATATACATGTATATACATATATACATGTGTATACATATACATATACTATGCATATTATAAAGGCATAGGTTATACATATATACATATATACATGTATAGGTTATAAAAATATACATATCTACATATGTACATATACAAACATGTATATATATATATACATACATACATACACACACATACACAAATATATATATATATATATACACACACACGTATACATACATGTGTACATGCATATATACATATATGTACATACACAAATAATCACACATACATGTTTACATATACACATACATACATATATGCATATGCACATATATATATACATTTATACATATGTACATATATACATATATACAGATATACATATATACATATATGCATATATGCATATATGCATATGCACATATATACATATATACATTTATAAATATAAACAAACAAATATATATATATATATATATATGTACATATACATACATATATATATATATATATATACATACACATACACATACACACACATACACATACACATACACATGCACATGCACATGCACATGCACATGCACATGCACATGCACATGCACATGCACATGAACATGCACATGCACATGCACATAGACATAGACGTAGACGTAGACGTAGACATACACATACACATACACATACACATACACATACACACACATAAGCACACATACATGCATACATGCATACATGCATACATGCATACATGCATGCATACGTACATACATGCACGCACATATACATACGTACATACATATGCACATCCATATACATACATATGTACTTACATGTACATACTTACATACATTGCGAAATACATATGTACATCCATATACATACATATGTACATACATACACATGTACTTACATGTACATACTTACATACATTGCGAATACATATGTGCATACATACATACATACATACATACATAGACACATACTTACATGAATATACATACACGCACATATACATATAGAAGCCAAGGCCAGGGCCAGAGGCAGCAGTCGTAGCAGTGGTGGTGGTGCTACTAGTGAGTTGGATCTGCGTGGGTAGGGGAAGCAGTAGGGGTAGGAGCGGCAGCAGAAGAAAGAGCAGCAGCAGTGGCATGTGCTACTCCCGATGGTCAAAGTCCTGCATCATCCAAACTGAGGAGCACAGCACGTCCACACGGCTTAGGGTGCTCCAGCTGTGGGCCATGACTTGACCCGTGTGTGGCTACTGCACTTCTGATGATGTGCGATATCCCCGTTACGCATACATTGCTGTGTGTTTCTTGGCATTGTGCAACGAGAGAAGTCCCGACTTAACTTGAATGCTGGAGGGCGGGTGCTTGTGCTTGGGGCCTGGACACGAAACAAGGCGCCACCGATTTTGTGCATTCAGTGTAGACGGCCAGAAGAAGCGCAAAACAAAAAACCGTTCGAAGTGGTAAGTGTTTGGACATGTAGCAACATGACGCCAAGTGTCGGTGCACTCGACTTCAGAGCAATGTTTCAGGCTGAGGATTGCGCTGGTCTCGTAGGTCTCGTGGGTATCACCGCTCGCACACCCTGGCTGTTTCTTGGCTGTTTCATTCAACTGCAAACCAACCTGCGTGTCGATCCTTGCCACCGCGGCTTGGTCTTTCTTGTGCGCTTCGGACCTAGCAGCTAACGTTGCAACATGTCCGATATCAAGCCCTTGACGTCAACACCGGCCGGAGGCCCTTGCTGCAGAGCCGAATAGTCGGCCGGAAATTCCCGCGGCAGCCATTGGGCTCACTCTATGCCGACCTGCGCAAGATTTAGTTTACATCAACACAATGTTGGTTCCACTGATGCAGACTCGGTATAGTGGTACTGCTAGGCGATGCTGGGCGCATGCAGGTTTCCATTTCATCTGGGAATATAGGTTCGCTGCTCATGACATCGCAGGGACCTTCGTATCGGGTGACGTGTTGCTTGTTGCATGCGTTCTGCATCAAAGTACTGTGTCCACAACCAAGAAAGAATTGCCTCAACTTGAGGGGCTGGGCCAGGGGAACGAAAGCTGGCCTAGCCTGGAGGGACGGCGGGCACATCCAACTGCATCAGCAACGGATAAGCAACGCAGCGGAAACAAAGCTCACGAGGCGGGCTCCAGGCATCCTCACATTCAACCAGAACCGCATCAGCAACGTGGAGGAGACAGAGATGGTATCATCAGCACATCCACCCACATCGACAACTCAGCGGCAGATTGAAAGGGGGAGGGAGGGGGTGAGAGGGAGAACGGGGAGTGGGGGGAGGATCAACTCTTTTGCGTCTGGGCCGGCAGGCCGGCCCACTGCTTATGCTGATAGAAACGAAAGCCTCGCCATGCTAGCTTTCGTGACTTCAGAGCATCAGTTGACAGGCTGACTTGACACTTGACAAACGAGAAGAGCCTGCGGTGCGTCGTTGCGGAGGTCATTCCTTTGCTAAGCCGTCGCTTGAGCCAGTGTCACATGGACAGAAAGGCTTTGGACGGCCTTCCTGGCACCCAGTGCTTAAATGTCAGTCTTCTCATTGCCCTCAAATAATTCCTATCCAACATAGAGCACTCAAGTGTCTTCTCATAGCGCCGGCAAGAAGCTGGCACTGAGTTGTTCTCAACAAATCTCCAAAAGAAGCCACGCTAGGAGAAAAAAGGAACACCAGGAAACCAACACGGATCATGCACCACCCCCCAACGGCAGGCCCTGCTATCCCAAATCACAAACTACATTCGTAAACTTGCAAAGCCTGATAAAAAAAATAAACACTCGAATGCACCTGCAATTGGGCTCTGCGTAGCATCAGCTTGATGCTAATTAATGCATGTGGAGGTGCGCATCCTTCTACTGGGCGTGATTTCAGGATTCACACCTGGCTCACAACACATGCTCTCCCGATGACATGACAAAGTCTTGATGCGACATGCCCGCACCGACAGATGATGCATGGTCGTTCTCACCGACATCCCGAAACAGCACGGTGCACTTCGCAGTTGCTACCCCTTCCTGTACGCTGGCATGATCAGAAGAAACCGCGAAGACTCACAACATTCCCCTTTTGTGTTACCAGTATGTGAAAACTGCATGCCGCAATGGCCACACCAGCTGAAACAGAAACTTCAAGTGACCCTCTGCACAGTTCCAGCGTCATATCTGATGAGTGCGACAGGCCCAAAGCTGTGCCGTTTCTTGTGGAGGTTGATTGGGCTAGCGGCTAAACATACTCACATCCAGCCATCTATCCATCCATCCAGCCAGCCATCGATGCATGCATGCATGCATGCATACATACATGCATATATACATATAGGCATATAGGCATGCATACATGAATACATACATAGATTACTTGCTTACTTAGGCACTTACCTGCTTACATACATACAGACATGCAGACGTACACATGCATACACACATGCAGACATTCATACAGCATGCATGCATACATGCAGACATGCGTACATGCATGCACGGTGACCCGCAGATGTTTTTGTATGTATGTATGCATGTAACTTACTGTGCATACTTACTTATCGACGTATACATATATGCATGCATGGGAGTTGATCTAAACTGCTTCATCTCGGAATGACCTTCTTCACGGATAAAAAACTAGCGTTCGCGCCACCGTCGCGGAACTTTCGCGGAAGCATATTTACACACCTGTACAAGCAAGAACCCTGATTCCCTTGAGGATTCTGTTAAGGGTTCCTTTGAGTGTTCTTTTTAGGCTTGCTGTGAGGGTGCGCTTAAAAGGCTCTTTGCAGGGTTCGTTTGAGGGTTCTTTAATGATTCGGAGGCTTCATCAAAAACCCTAAGACAGCCTGAAGCAGCTCAACAGAAGCCCTGAAGCTTGTGCGCAAGTCTCCCAGAAACTCTCAATCAATTATGCCAACAATGTCCATTGGGGGGTGGCCTTAATCTGGCTTCGTCGACTTTAACGCCACTTACGCGGAACTTTCGCACTAAATCCTGTACAGGAACCTAATTTTGAGCTTGTCCTTGCTTAAACACTAGCACCGAAAGAAGCAACAGTACTAGCGTTAGCGGTAGGGCCTGCGGAAATGGTAGCAATGTCCATAGCAACAGCAGTAGCACTAGCAGTAGCAATCGTGGGTAAGACGTAAGAGGTGGGAGGCAGTAGGCGTCGGCAGTGGATCGTAAAAGGTTGTGAGTAGTAGGTATGGCAGGTAGCGGCAGTAATTGCGTGACGGTAGTGACAGTAGCAGTAGAAGCCGTAGTAGCAGCAGTACGAGCAGTAGTACCAGTGGTAGTCCTAGCGGTAGTAAGAGTAATAGTAACAGTAGCAATAATAGTAAAGGTAAGAGTAGTAGCATTAGCAATAGCCATGTATTTGCCATCGTCATCGTAATAGTAGTAATAGTAGTAATAGTAGTAATAGTAGTAATAGTAGTAATAGTAGTAATAGTAGTAATAGTAGTAATAGTAGTAATAGTAGTAATAGTAGTAATAGTAGTAATAGTAGTAATAGTAGTAATAGTAGTAATAGTAGTGATAGTAGTAATAGTAGTAATAGTAGCAATAGTAGTAATAGTAGTAGTAGTAGTAGTAGTAGTAGTAGTAGTAGTAGTAGTAGTCGTAGTGGTAGTAGTAGTAGTAGTAGTAGTAGTGGTAGTAGTAGTAATAGTAGGAATAGTAGTAATGGTAATAAGAATAATAATAGTAGAAATAGTAGTAATAGTAGTAATAGTAGCAATAGTAGAAATAGTAGTAATAGTAGCAATAGTAGTAATAGTAGTCATAGTAGCAATAGTAGTAATCGTAGTCATAGTAGCAATAGTAGTAATAGTAGTAATAGTAGTAATAGTAGTAGTAGTAGTAGTGGTAGTAGTAGTAGTAGTAGTAGTAGTAGCCATGCGCGCCTCCTGGCGCCTGGTGTTTTCCTCTGTTTTCAAGCGTTTCGGGGAGGTTTTGGGTTGGTGGGGGGGGTGGGTGGGGGGGTTAATAACGACATGGTCGACCGCAATGGTCTTCTTGTTGCCAAAAACACTGGCAGTGCCGGTACTTTGGAGCGTTTTTCGGGGGCTTTTGTTCGACTGGGAGGGGAGGGCATGGTGGGGGTGTCAATCACGACATGCTTCACCGCAATTTTGCCGGTTTCGCAATCCCCACGGTGTGGCTCGATTTTTGTGTGTTTTGGAAGGATTTTCTTCCACTGGTGCGGGGGTCGTGAGGGGGGGGGGGGGCGCAGAGTGGCTCGATTTTCGCGTGTTGGCAGTAGCAGTAGCACTAGCAGTAGCAGTACCAGCACCAGTGGCACTAATAGTGCAACCCGCAGTAGCAGTCGTACTAGCACTGGCAGTAGCAGTACCAGTACCAGTACCAGTGGCACTAATAGTAGCACTACTACAGTGCTACTAGGTACCAGTACCAGTCCTACAAGGAGTTATACTAGCAGTACCACTACCAGAAGCCGTAGCACTAGCACTAGCACAAGCGGCTTGAGGCCCTTTCTGCAGCAGTGTAGTAGGCCTAGTAGTAGGCCGTAGTCCTCAGTCCTACTAGTGGCTTCCAATAACATGCACATCATTGTCATTCTCAGCATCTTCATCATCATCATCAGTAGCATCACTAGCATTATCATCGTCATCGAAAAGTGTAACTGTTAGTAAAACAAAGTAGTTTTTGAAAACGTAGCTGAACTGCAATTTCCACAAAACCCTGTAAAAACCGGTACTTTTGACCTTCTAACACCTGCAAACTACCAGGCGCCAGGAGGCGCGCAAGCCTAGTAGTAGTAGTAGTAGTAGTAGTAGTAGTAGTAGTAGTAGTAGAAACTTTCGCAAAGACATATTTATCGATGCAGGTGGCCACTAATGTTAAAAGTATGCCACAAGGAGCTTTAGATCAACTACCACATGTACATACAGACACATGTGCGTATGTGTGCGCATGGCTGTACCACGTGTATCTGCGTCTTTACACGTGCCGCGTGTGGCTGCCAAACCTTGCTTACACGTATACAAGTCTTTATGTACGTACATAGCTACAGACATTGTCCTGTGGCACTGATATGAAACAACAGCATTTATGGTCTTTGATAGCTGCAGGTGCTAGTGTTATGCTGTATCCTGACGTACGCCGTGTCAGTGTTCAAAGTCGATAAGCTGTCACCTTCTAGCTTGTGTTGACAACATACATGCATACCAATGCAATACAATACAATGAAAATGAAACACTATGCAAGACCAGACAAGGCAAGACGAGACATTCCAGTACAGTACATTGCATTACCTCCATACATACAGACACGCATACATACAAACAGACAAACATACGTACAGACAGACATACAGACATACAGACATACAGACAGACATGCAGACAATCATACGTACAGACGTACATACATACGTGCATACATCCGCGTGACAGCTCTGTGGAAACGCATTTTCCCTCAAGATCCTGCGAGCAAAATCGTATCGCATCGGCATCATGAAGACACAAAGTTGACCCTTGCTACAGCAGCCTGGCAGCATTAGCACTTGCGAGAATGGAAGGAACAGCTTCTGGTGTGGCTGATGCGATGTGGTTGTTTGCCTATTACTGTTGTCTTTATGTTCTATAGGGACGATGCTGCCTCAGAAACCGTTGGCTTTCTCTTTGTAGTAAAGGAGCCCCACAGCGCACCGGCTACGCGCCGAATCTTAGCAAAGAGTCGAGGATGCCCTCAGCCTGATGCCGCATGCACGGCCAAATTAAGAAATTGAGGGCTTAATCCAGCCGAGAGCACCAATCTCGCGAGATTACATACCATTGAGCTTTTGAGGTCTGGTGGAATTTACACTCTGTTCTGATGCTCCTTGTCTGCTTGTTGTTCGCGTTCTCTCTTTCGGTCTTTAGCTGGTAAGGGCACGGCTGGAACAAAAATGGGTCTCATGCAGGAGCCCCCCAGAGGCACCACAGAGCAGCTAAAGGAAGAAAAGAGCAAAGCTAAATCCATTCTGAAATCCGGACTTGCCTACAAGATAGATCCGTCAATGCGAACAATCCCTTGGAGCTTGCCGGACAAGCCTGAATTTTGCAATAAACTTTTTCGTCCCAACAGAGGAGGTACAGCAGCGCTGCAAAGCAGCGAGCTGAGGCCAACTGAAGCAAACCATACTTCGTTTCACCTAACGAAGCCCACTTAGCACGGACAGCTGCCCGAATGCTTGGGCACATGATGTGTTCGGGTGGATCGAAAAAGCCCCGCTGCACATTTTGCCACCTGCCCTCCAGCGTCGTCAGGCTCCTCGTCAGAACTGTCATCAGTGTTTGCCTCTAAAGCATCTTGGTCGAACAGTCCGGAACTTGAATGACGAATGACCTTCCGCCGGGACCTCGGCATAATGTCGTGCATATCTTGCTTCGTGTTAGTCTCGTGACCCTCTTCCAACTTCTTCCGAGAGTCTAGACGAACACGCTGGATCGAACTAATGCTTTGCTGACGGTCATCTTCCAAAGCCGCTTCAGCCTCTGCATGAGCTGCTAGCAACTCCTGCTCGGAACGGGCTTGCTGCCTTTCTGCATCCACATCAAACTTCGATCGACTGGCAGCAACGTCATCGATCTCTGGCAGCTGTGTTTCGTAGAACGCTGGCAGACTTTGCTGCGGTCGCTTTGGTTCCAACTTTTTGCCCAGAAGTGCAATACTGGGGTGGGGTCCTTGACCGGACTGCCAGTTCAGAACAAGATCGAGGATGTCAACTAGCTCAGGAACTCTTGGGTCGGCAAGGGAGCCCCTGTGAGGTGCTTCAGCTTTGACTTCATCTTCGTTGGCTGCCAACACATCCTTCCAGAATGCAGAACAGTACATAGTTCGCTTGACAGCCGTACCACACTGCTGCCATTCTTGGTATGGCAGGTGACGCACATGGAAGCCCATGGCCTTAAGTAGATTGTGCTTCAGCAAGCTCGATGCAGTTCTAGTATTCGTGTCACGGTAGAAGTGCGACGGGCCATCAATCTCAACAACGACACGGCTTCCAATCACCATGTCCAGCATAAACGGCCCCAAGAAGACCTCGCTGCGATGATGTAGGCCCACGCGTGTAAACCATTGGGAGATTCTGCGATGCAGCCGGCTGGAGTTTTGCATGTAATCATCGACTACGATGTTCACCTTCCTAGCCTTTGCGAGCAGGGTCTTCAATTCCTGGCGCGTTGCATCATAAACACCAGGCTCCAACAGACGCAGGTACAGCTCCACAATCTGTAGCTGATAGACTGCAGGATAGTTGAGTTCGTTTCTGTGCTCGTTGGAGATTGCAAGCATGCTGTACAAGACTCCATGATGCGTGTCAAACGGATAGCCATAAGTGCCTTCCAGTGGTGCTTCTTGCAGCTCATGTCTCTCTACTGCCGCGAGCAGCAGCATGGCGTAGGCCACGTTAGAGGCATCCTTCTCCGTGAGTTCGTGTTGCCTCCGTAAGAGCTCGAAGAGGAGCGCGTCGAAGAAGGGGAGGTCTCGCACGCGCATGTGTGCGTAGGAGGCGAAGGCCGTCGCCAGCTGACTCCCGGAAGCCTCGCCGAGCCGGGACTTGACAACGGCAGCCAGCAAGCGCAGGAACCGCCCGTCCCGGTAGTTCATCTCGGCACAGCCCACGAAAAGCGCGCAGGCGTCGACCACGTCCAGCTCCACGAGCTTGGCGGAAAGGACCTTCACTGCACTGCGAAGCACCTGGCGGTTTGATGATTTGGCTCTCGCCATGCCACGCAGCAGCATTGCAAGAGATCTGGGGCTCATTTGTGGAACGCGCAGCTTGGCAAACGAAATGAGGTCGGTGTACATGGGTGAATTTACGATGCCAAGCTTGCTGCAAGAGTTGAAGATATTGCACAGCTGATGTGTAGAATACTGACCCTGCAGCGCAGTCACCTGTTTCGGAACCCAGCGCATCAAGCTGTGGAAGTTCGATTGGCTCTTCGCAAAGGCTGAAAGTAAAATGGACAAACCATGCCCTGAAAGAGCAGTCGATGCAGTCGCACCAGTCTTGTCAGCGCCGTTGATCAGATCAGTTTCCGCAATCTCCGCATGACGTGCCAACTCACGCACACGCTGCCTTGTCATGTCGAACAAGACGAAATACAATCTTTGGTCAGAAATCGAAAGCCTGGCAAAGGCTTGGGTTAGCCTTTCCAGCGGACTTAACGGAAAACGGTACAGGTCACTGGAGTCTTGCAGCGTTTTGCCGATGGTACCACGAAAAATGACTTCGTCCGCAAGACATAGATTAAGCTGCTTGTTTTGGATCTGCAAGCGTCCAAAAGCGTAAGCCAAGTTTCCAAGATGAAGAGGCTTGAACCGATCCATAAGTCTCACAGATGCGTCAGCGATTTTTTCAAAAAGCGTATCGTGCCTGAACTGCAGCTTCGCATAAGCGTGAGCGACCAGGGAGAGGCCCTGTGGATCGAAGGAAGAGATCTTCGGGGCAACTGCCAGCGACACCGCGTCGAAAAACATCGGATCCCTGCCGCGAAGTTGGGCAAAGGCATTGAGCGTATTGGAAAAATCTTGTTCATTGTAGCTCTTTAGCTGTGGCGTTGCGCAGGCAGAGATCGTCTTCAAGAGTGGCATAGCCCAGGGACCGGCACGTATCTTGGCAAAGGCATTGCTAATCAAAGCCAGCTCCCGCGGCGGAAAATCGACGAGGGCCACCAGAGGCACCAAGCGCGTTGCTATAGTTGAGAACATGTGCGACACGTTGCCATGAATTGATGAAGATGAAAAATCGAACTTGGCAAAGGCATTTAATGTAACGGCGATATCCCTTGATGTCATATCTGGCAAATGCTTTGGCAAAGCTACTGCCATCGCTTTCCACATTTGGAGGTCTCGCTCCTGCTTGCGGCTTTGCCAAGAAATCTGAAGAAGAGCATGGGTGGCAGCAACACGGGCAATTTGCGATCCTTCCACACCATTGCCATCTGGGTCTTGCAGGAGTGCACCAAACCTGTTGCCCAGTTTGCGAAAAGTCTGAACTGGCCTGAAGCTTAATTTGGCACAGGCCCGCATGACTTGAGCAATTTCCTCTGCAGCGAATGAACGGGACAAAATGCGGCATTGTATGTTGAGATGTCTGACTAGCTCTGTGCTTGATCTCTCGCAGCTTGCAAGTAATGAGAAGATCTCAGCCAAATCGCATGGAAGAAAGGATCGCGCCTCGTCATGACTGATATTCTCAAGCAACCTCCAGCTTTCGAGAAGCTCTGCAGAAGGGGCACCTGCCACATGAAGCCAGTGCAGTGCACGTAGGCAGCGAAGAAAACCGGAGCGTGATGTATAGACGTCCGTGCTGTCCGATGTTGGCAACTGCCGCAGCATTGCAGTGGCGTGAACTGGATCTTGAGTCTGCTCCGCCCAGCGTTGTAGGGCCCTGGTCTCCAGCTTCGGTTTTTCAGGTCTCGAGGTGTCCAACGGGATGACCGTTATGTGGCGAAAATTGCCACGAAGGAGAGAGCTTCTGCATTCCTTTACGAAACAAGTCAGGCAGTGATGCGAATGGGCACGGATCATTGCAGCGAACTGCCCTAAGGCACCTTGAGCGAGTGTTCGATCATCGCATGCATATTCACCCTCCAGCACTCTCAACTCAGCAGCTCTGGCCTTAGACTCTAGACTCAAATTCTTAGACAGTTCACCTGCGCTACGGCCGCCTCAAATCTGACTGACAGTTAGGGGGATCGCACAGCCCGTGCAAGAGTCTGGTTTTGGCAAAAGGGTCATCGAATGCCAGTCACTCGCTTCCAGTTCTGGAGGAGAGTGGGTACACGATGAGGAAAATCATGCTGTGAGCGCTGTGAGCTCCTGACGGAACCGGACACAGGATGACTTGAGCTACCCATGCTACCCTGGTCGGGTCTGCAGGCGGCCAAGGGTCACTCGTACAACTCTGTTTGACGAAGCGATCACTCCTGTACCTCGCGGGCCCCGATGTTCAAAACATGTCGACTTCTGAGAATTGCACAAGCCTCTCCCACATACTGCTGACAGGCTGATGCGGGCACTTCACTTCTCGGCTCCTCTGTGCTGACATCCTCTTTCACTTCCACCTCTGCCTTGCATCCCAGCAGATCCGAAGTCTCTGCCGGCAAAGTCAGATCAAGCTGAATCAAGTTCATTGCTTTTTCTCATGCCGTCCGTGCCTGTGGCCGAATCAAACGACCCAAGGCTGACATGGTGACCGCCAGAACATCTCAGAGTAGGTTCTCATTGCTTTCAGGCTTGTAGCAATCTGGAGTCGAATCAAAGTATGCCTTGTGCGGGCTTTCTCTGTTGTTCAAGTTTGCCTATGGCTAACTTCTTTGCCATAGCATATTGTCACTCCTCTCGCAACAGCCAAATTATCTCCACCTTCTCCCACTTCTCCTCCAACTCTCCAGGCGTGTCCTCCTGCGCTGGCTCCTCCTGCGCTGGCTCCTCCTCCGCTGGCTCCACCTGGCAGGCAACATGCCATCCCCAGCAATGCTAAACTACACAAGCCTGGCCTTCTCGCTGCCAGTTTCATCCAGCTTTCTCCTCAGCGTCGCCAATTCCTTCCGCTGGGCCAACAGCTCCACTCAACAGCTCGAACACTCCAAAGAGGCACCAAGATCATTGGGAATCTTCTTTTCCCGAGACCTCCTCAGCATCTTCGAGCTTCTGGGTCAGCGTCTTCCGCCGAGACTCCAGCTCCTCTCACGGAACGCACCGATGCAAGTCTCCACTTCTCGCTTAGCGGAAGACGTCCGATCCTCGGCCAAGTCGAAATCTTCCACTTCGCAAGCTCGCTCGATCTCCGGCTCCAGGCTCCCGAGCTCTGCCTCTCTGCCAAGAACCCCGGGCACACACGGTGTTAGAGTTAGCGGAGGCATTTGCCCCCCTCTCTTTCTTTCTGCCGGGCTTAAGGGTCACGTCGTGACCCGCAGGCGCTAGGCCCGCCCGACCCCTTTTTTTGGTTTTATTCAGTGGGGTCCTGATACTACGGTAACCGACTGCACGGTTTGCTCTGTGTTTCTGGCCTGGTCTCTCTCTCTCTTTCTTTCGCCAGGGCTATGGTGCAGGGGTTTAACCCCCTACACCCTCTCTCTCTCTCGCGTTTTCTCTCTTGCGCACATTGGTGATGGACGGCAGGGCTGGGGCTATCGTGTTGTGCGCCTTGAAGTCGCCGATCGCCGAAGCAACCGCAGCAGCTCCTGGCCGGGCAAAACTTGACGTTCAGCCTCGTCGTCTCCTCTCGCTCGACTGAGAAAGCGAAAGCTGAGGTGCAAACTCTCCGAGAGGGCTTCAGGACTGCAATCCTCGCTGGTAACCTCTGCCATGCCAACCCAGCCGTGATGATCACCATGCAACTTTCGAAAGGCTTCCGAATGAACCAACTTCTGCATTCACAATGACTGCCGCGCACGGCTAAGCACCATCCATTGAACGTCGTGGGGAAACAGCTTGTGATTGGTAATGATGCTAATGCTTGCAAGGAGCAGCAGCGACGTCCGCGCCCTGGCACCACATGTGCTGGCCAATGGGGCAGCCCGGGGATTGCGGGGATCATTATCAGCCAGCCGGGGATGTGTCAGGATGTGCCAAGCTGGTGTTGGCTTTTCTGGCACCTCTTGAGCATCGTCTTGGCGAACTTCATCTTCAGACAGCGCTGTCGGCTCTGCGCCTGGGTGCAAGGGCTATGCGGCTATACCTGTGCGGTGATTCCTGTGCTCGAGCCTTGAAGCTCCGAGCTTCCGTTCGGAACCGGGGAGCTGTAATCAGCCTCCAATTTCCAACATCCAAGATCTTCCGAGACTCCTTTGCTATGGCCTCTGGTTCCGACATGGAATCTTCGGCAGTCTCCTTCTGCACTTCGCCATCCTTGCAACGGGCTGCCGGACTCTGAAAGCAAATCGTGTCTCGGCACACACAACATGTCCTGAAGACCCTCAATGGTCTCTGCGGCAATGTCTTCCAAGGACGCTGTCTCGATGCTGTACCTGGCACACTTGGTTTGCTTGGCCTGCCCAAGACTGTCAACCCAACTAACCTGTTGGGCAAGGAGCGAGCGATTCATGAATCATGTCGTACTCCGGTGCAAAGTCAAGGCCGTGCATGGTTTGAACTCGAGGTGCTCGTGTGGTCCCGTGGCTTGGAATTCGGCACCTATTTCACACTGCGTGGACTGCGAGCATTGGCCGAACTAGACAGATTTGTTGCATCATGCACCGCTGTTCTTGAAACACTGGCCACACTTAAATGGCAAGTTCAGCATCTCCAGCATCTGCTTGTCTTCGAGATTGCCGCACTTAAATCACTTAGCTCGATCAAAAGCGCGAGTGTGCGATGTACTGTCGTGATAGTCGGGGCCTTACGACATCCTGAATCTGGCACTCGTGCAGCCCACATCATTGATTGGACCAGGAGTTGGGAAGGCTTTTGGAACACACACAACACAAGGTCCTCGTGCTGGACGGTCGACAAGCGAGACGGGGTCACTTCTTGGCAAGATGCGCCTGCAACACAGCCAATTGCAACGTGTTCCTCCAAGCCTGCAGAGAGCTGTAACTTGCCTTGCCTGCTGGTGCTTCAGCACACTCACCTCTTGGTTGTAGAGGCGTCGTGCGCTGGCGCTAAGCGACGGGGCTTTGCACAAGTCCTCACGACACTCAAACATCGTGACATGGCAAGGGTCAGCACAGGCTCTCGAGGCAGGACACGACGAGCCTCCAAGTCACTGACCTGATGGCGCAGCACCTGAGTCTTCGAGAGGCTCATGCATGTTGAAACATGTCGAAACCTTCACCTGGACCTGCGACTCCTGCGACCTGGGACCTGGGTTCGCAACCCGTAACTCTTCGACCGCACAAGTTCCTTCGACCTTCAGGAGCTCCTCCTCGCAAGTGATAAAGCGACAAGACACAAAAAAACTACGAAGAATAAACAAAATCTAGAATATGGGTATCAATATGTCTGGGCATCTCGGCAGCTCCTGAGCGTTTTGCTCGGTCTGCCTACATGCCGCCAACTCCTCGCGCGCTGTCGCCAGGCTTGCCTTTGCAAACTTTGCTATGGTCGGCCACGGTTTGCAGAGACACTCGAAACACCGGGCCTGCAAAGACTCTAGCTCTGCTTCGATCTTTTTCTTTCCTTCCTCTCTCCTAGCAGCTTGTCATTTTGAGAAGTCGCACTAAACGCGAGTTATTACTGGCACCCTCATGCCTTCGAATCTCTTCCGTCAGGCGGCCTGCCTCGAGCAGGTGCCATGCCCCAGAACGCAAAATCCGACTAGACACAACTGATTTCGAGATGTATCCGTAAATATTGCAAGAAGCACGCCGGCGCGATGCACTTCGGATCTATAGACGCGCACGTTCGGCTGCTTTTCCCTTCACGGCTAACTTAACCTGCTGACACTGAGTCATCCACTCCAAAGCGAAGAACCCGACATGCTCCGTCGGTTCGGACAGGTCGAAAATTCGATACGCAATTTGGGTCTTCTCGCCCGGAAATGCACATGGGGGAAACCCAGCTAGCATTTCCGATCCCAAATGCCCGGCATATCTCCCGCAAAACCCCCGAGCATCACATGTGCCAAAGCAACCGCTGTAACAGGTGCCCATGGGTGCTTTGGGTTCCCACGTCTCCCGGAAAGCCGAACAGCAACATGCCACATCACGCATGCTTCTTGCCATGAAACGGCACGGGTACCTAAACATGTCAAAACTCCATGCATGGTTCGGGCAATGCACTTGCCACAAGTGAAGGGTCCCAAAATGTCAAACAATTGCACGAACTCTTTCCCGGAGAGACCACACCCATGGCACCTAAACTCCCAGAACATTCTCACAGGAACCCGAAACAGAAAGCAGGGAAGTCAAGCCCAAAGGGCAGATGGACAAGGCGTGGGATGACAGGTGAAATCGCGTTGATGTAGCAAAGGGTCACGGAAGGCTACACGGCCGACCACATCCATGTCGCTCCAACGCTCTCATCGAGCCGATGATTCAACGGGCGCTATAGTCCGGATTTCGGGAGCCACTGTGTGGTTCACGGCCTTCGAAAAGAAGATGTACCAGTTAGTCATTGCGTCTTGCACATCCAGACTGGTTGACCGCATCCACCCAGCCACTTTTAGAAGGGACAGATTCCTTGAAAACAGAAGCTTGGAGGCAAGCTGGATCAAAGGCGCTGGGCGCTCTGGGTCCGGAGAGGTGCTTGCCCCTGATGAGCGGCATCCCGAGAACCCCAAACCAAAAAAAAACACACCCGAAAGCTACCGAAAGCACAAAACCCGACAAACCCACGCCAGAAAACCACACGCCCGAAATCCAAAACCCTAAAACCACGAGCCCGACAAAACCAAATCCGAAAACACCAAAACCGAAAACAGCAAACCCGAAAAACACTATCCCGAAAAAACACCAAGCCCGAAAACACCCCACCAGAAATCACCAAACCCGAAAACACTAAACCCGAAAACACTTTAGACATCTTTAGACGAAAACACCTAACCCAAAATCACCCAACCCGAAAAACACCAAACCCGAACACAGTAAACCTGAAAATACCCAACCCATAAAAAACAAAAAACACGGAGACAACAAACCCAAAAACACACCCAACCCCAAAACCACAAGCCGCAAATACCAAATCCGAAAACACCAACCTGCAAACATGAAGCCCGAAAACACCAAGCCCAAAACCCTACATAAACCCGAAAACACCAAACCCGAAAACACTGAAAACCAGAAAGCTGAAAACCGCAACCGACATCACCAATCCCGAAACCACAAACCGAAACACCAAGCCCGAAAACCACAAACCCGACAACACCTCAAACCCGAAAACACGATGACCAAAAATACCAAATCCAAAAACCCCAAACCCGAGAAACACCAAACTCTGAAACACACAAACCGGAAAACCCAAACCCCCGCTCCAAAACAAAACACCAACAAGTCTCGAAAACACAAACCCGAAAACAAACAATCCGAAAACTACCAAACCAAACGCACTAAACCCGAAAACACCCTACCCGAAAACACTCCTCAACCCCAAAACACCAAACCCGCAAACAACAAATCCGAAAGCACCAAACCGCAGAAACACAAACCCAATTGAACCGGAAAGCACCAAGGCCGAAAACAGTAAACCAAAAAGCACCACCAACCCCCTGAAAATACAAAACACCGACACGCAAATCCGAAAATGCAAAACCCGAAAACAAACAATCCGAAAACACCAAATCCGACACAACAAACCCGAAATCACCAAACAAAAACACCAAACCCGAAAACACCCAACCCGAAAGCGCCAAACCCGAAAACACCAAACCCGAAAACACCCCACCCGAAAACACGCCCCCCCGAAAACAGCTGAAACGAAAACACCAAACCCTCAAAGCCCGAAAATACCAAACCGAATGCAGAAGCTAGATGCTAAGCAATTCAGAAGTTCAACAGTTGATGTGATAAGTCATCTGAGTATACTGAACCAATTGAACAAAACAGGCTCACGAGTGCTCAATTTTTTCGCGCCCCCTTTCTCTTTCCTTAGAGCTCACAGGCGCCATGGCCGACCAATCCAAGGCCAAGGTGCTGGAGACTATGGCCTCGCAGCTCTCCGCGGTGGCTGCTGGCCTCGAGGCTCTGAAGGTGCAAGGGGCAGAGCAAAGACAAGACTGCCGAGACGATCGCAGCAATGCAGCAACGCATCTCACAGCACGATGCATTGCTCACAGGAGATGGCCCTTCTGTGCTGTCGACTGCTGCACCAGCAGCCCGTCCTCAAGACTGGGAGGTCCACTTGCCACAGGGAGCATCCGGCTCCTCACAGCCAGTGTCCAGGGAGGAGTGTGCACAATGATCACGGAGGCTTTGCAGACCAAGGTCGGCCCGGCACTGCAGGCTGCTTTCTCGCAAGTCGGTGGCGAGCTCGTCAAGCAAACAAAGCACCGAAGAAGAAGCCAGCTCAGGAATCCGACAGGGATGCCCGCTGTCACCCTACCTCTTCCTCATAGTACACGGAATGGTGATGCATGACGTCGACCAAGAGCTCACAGCCAACAGGGAAGTCCTCCCCTGGCTCTACAGCCAAAACCAGCCTTTTTACGACTTAGCATACGCCGACGACACAGCACTCATAGCAGGCACTGCGGTCAGGGCAGAGAAGCTGCTTCACATCCTACAAACGGTCGCAGCCCACAGCAACCTTCACCTCAACCTCGAGAAGTGTGTGCTGCTACGCTCACTCTTAGCAGCAGCGGCTCCTGCCACAAGGACGTCACCACAAGGCTTGCTAAAGCCCGCAAACACTTCCACTCACTACACCAATTCTGGCGCAACACGGACCTCACACTGAAGTGGAAGCTCAGAATATACAACGCAGTTTTCATTCCACTGGTGACGTACGGATTAGAGTCCGTAGCGCTCACAGCCGGAGAGACTCGAAGCATTCCACTCACAGTCCCTGCGCAAAATCCTTCACTTCAAACGCACCTACTACACTGAAGTGCTCAACCCACAGCACGCACCTACACCAACCGGGAAGTGAGAGCACTCACTGCGCAACCACATCTCACACACCACATCCACAAAGCACCGCTGAAGCTTTTCGGGCACATTCTTCGATCCCATCCGAACAGTATAGAACGGAACTGCTGTTTTACTAGGTCTTTTCAGTACAGAGGGGCAACGGTAGGAGCAGGCCTTAGGCCAGGCAGGCGTAGGGTCCACTGGACAGAACAGCCATACTCCTACCTACAAGCTCACATAACAGCTGTAGACCGCCATTTCTGAAGTACTCTAGTGAGGTTGCCAACGTGCAAGACACTCCTGGAAGCACACTCCTACGTAGTTCTCTCACAGACGTGAGTTCTTGCGGAGTTGTTGCTGAGCGAGTTGCACAAGGCCGCCAAAGAAACTTGAACAAAACAATCAAGCTGCATTCATCAAACGCGAATAAGTTCATTCAAAACCTCAAATATAGTCCAAGTCTTGGGCAAAATAAGTGTAGCATATAGACTATTTTGATTGCATGCTTTTAAATAGAAATGAGCACAGAGACACATATGTATATATGGTGCAGCGCTGCTAAAGCCCCCCTCCCCCCCCCCCCCCCCCCCCCCCCCCCCCCCCCATGGTAGCCCCCCTCCCCCCCCACCCCATGGTACCCCCCCTCCCCCCTTGTCGTTCCCTGCGATGTGGGTTCTCCTCTGCCATTCACCCCTGTGGTTGCGGTCGGCTGTGCCCCCTTCCATGGCTATTGCTGGTTGGGCGTCCGGTTGCGAAGGGTTTGTTTGGACCGTAGGATGTGATACAGTTCCATTGAACTCCGACCTGCCTTGAGCTCCAAAGCCAATGATAGTGATGAGTCTGCTGGTGATGATGATGACGAAGATGGTGGTCATGATCCCCATCTGCACTCTCCTCCGGTCCCTTGCTCAAGAGTCCGGAATGAAAATCATTCAAACACTTGCTCAAGCTTACTTTTAACGAACCCAACCGAAACTTGGCTTGGAATGACAACGGTCGATACTGCTTTCGCAAGAACATCCTAAGCCAAGCACGGTTTTCAACTAGATAAAGCAATGAACATGCGGCCGAAGCCCATAGCAACATAATTAAGAGCAAAGGTACCGCCAACAGACACATTGGGATTAGCACGTCAACATCCGTGTGCGCAACATCATCCCCATATTTCGCATTTGTGTGTCGAAGAGAGGGGAAGGGGAAGGGGAGCCTTGTGGTTCCGTGTGTGGATTATCCTTCCCCACCCCGGGGGGGGGCATACCATGGGGGGGGGGGGGGGGGGGCGCCTGCGACGCGGCGACGCGGCACCATAAATATATATGTATATATATGTATATATATATATATATATGTCATGTACATAAAGTATCAAATAGTGAATAAGCAGACCACAAATATGATATGACAGAAATATAGAACGTGTCATGCACATAATAGTTATACTATTTCACTAACCACAAAAATGTAATTAGCATTTCAGTCTTAATGTTGTTGAATAGAACATGAAACATATCAAATACATAAACGAATTCTTCCAGATTGATTACGCATGTATCATAAACTGAATGCAATGAACTTACACATATACATATATATATATATATGACGATGATGATGTATTAGATACTCTGAACATTCAACACATACCAGACCTCTCAAACAAGGTAACAGGGTCTCGAGTGACTCCGGACAGTTTGCATGTGTGTGTTTCGTTGTTCAGAAGTTCAGAGTCAATAGCGCGCGACACTGTGGTGTCAGCACATATTTGCTCGGCGGACGTGCTGGAAGGAGGAGCGCAATCCTCGAGAGGGGTCACTTGTGATGGGGCGTTTTGTGCGTTTTACCGTGGTTTTCAGCACATCTTGAAGTAAGCGTTCAAGGCAAAGTTTACGTGGACGACGATGTCACACTTGTTCGCATGGACGGGCAATGGAGTACTGCGGACATCCATGAAAGAAAGAAAGTTCGGCTTCAGCATCGCGCAAGGAGGCCGTTCCGGAAGATAT